TTTCTGAGATAATAATTTTTCCTTATTGTTTGAGCCATTTTTGATTGCTTTTTTGGTTACTTGCAACAGAAGGCATTCTAATTGACACCTTTACCTATTTCAATCAATCCTATTTATGATTGCATTTTGCTATTTTAAATGTCACAACATAGCCAGTGGGAGTTCCTCTAATTAGACATTTTGCCCTTTCAGTGCTGCTTTCTTGAGAGCACCCTTACTTTTTAGCAACAACAGTATGTTCTGGGCTTATTGAGTGTTTTACCTGCCCCTAAACATGGAATCGGCTACCCTCTAAGAGTCCAGGTTTCTTTTAGTAGAGAATAATATTATAGACCAAAAGCTGGGCTCTAAGGGGTAGATGCAGATAAAAAGGACCATTGTTCTATTGGGCCCCTCTTAGTAATGATAGAGCTAAATAAAAGGGGGGGGCTAATTTTCCTAATATATAAATAGTTCCTACAAATCAATAAGAAAAAGGCCAAAACTCAGTAGAAAAATGGAACAGCCAGTTCACAGAAAAAGAAATACAAATTGCTCCTACAACATGAAAAGATGCTCAAATTTACTCATAATAAGAGAAATACAAATTAAAATTAAAACTAGCATATTGTTCGTTACCTATCAGATTGGCCAAAGTAAATGTGGTTAATAACACACCATTGACAAGAGTAAAGAAGAACAAGCATTTTCAAATATAGTCCACTGGTGGAGTGTAAACTGATACAGCTTTCTATGGAGAGCAATTTAGCAATTTCTGCCAAAATTACGTGTTTTGGGCCCAGAAATTCCATCTGTAGGATTTTGTTCTATGGATATACTTACATATGAAAAATGATGTATACACACCAGGGTCATTTCTTTTAGCAATGTTTTCTTTTTTTCTTTTCTTTTTTGTTTTTTTGAGACAGAGTCTCACTCTGTTGCCCAGGCTAGAGGGAGTGCCGTGGCATCAGCCTAGCTCACAGCAACCTCAAACTCCTGGGCTCAGGTGATCCTCCTGCCTCAGCCTTCCGGGTAGCTGGGACTACAGGCATGTGCCACCATGCCTGGCTAATTTTTTTTTACTATATATATTAGTTGGCCAATTAATTTCTTTCTATTTATTGTAGAGAGTCTCGCTCTTGCTCAGGCTGGTTTCAAACTCCTGACCTCGAGCAATCCGCCTGCCTCAGCCTCCCAGAGTGCTAGGATTATAGGCGTGAGCCACCGCTTGGCAGCAATGTTTTCATACTTACAAAAGACTGCTAACAATGTAAGCATCTGCTTATAAGAAACTCATAGACTGTATTATGCTACAGCCAAACAACAGTGTCCTTAACAAAGAACAAGGAAGCTGTTTATGTACTGATGTGGAGTAATCTACTGATTTATGTTGTACTATAGAAAAAGCAAGGGGCAGAACACTGTAAGGTATGCTACAATGTTTAGGAAAAAGACAAAGGATAGGCATGTATCTGCTTGGCAACATGCACAGAAGAAACTGGTAACAGTGATTGTTGGTGGTGGAAGAACCTGGTGGCTTGGAGCCAATAAGTGGAAGAAACTACTGAGTACCACTTTGTACCTTCAGAATTTTGAATCATGTGAAGGTACTGTTAATGAACCCACAAGGGGGGTTCACTGTTACTCGCTGCAGAGAAAGCCAATTACTGAGGCAACGAGGATTGTCAAGGAAGAAAGGATTTGTTGCAGGAGATGTGTCAACTGGGAGCTGGGAGGTATGGACTGCTTCCCCGACCTACAGGGTCAGGGTTTTTTCTGGAGGTGAAATGAATAATGCATGAGGGGAGTGAGCATCATCACGTGTTTTGGTGGAGTGCAGGGCATGCAAGTGCAGTGAGAAATCATGCTAGAACACACATCCCATGATCAAAAAGGTGGATCAGTCCCTCCTAGGGTGGAATTTTAGTAGTATAATGAGTTAGGGGTTAACACTGGTCATTCTTTCAGCCTTGTGTGCAGGCGGGATGCAGGGAATAGGTTGCTCAGTGGGTCCTTGGGCATGATCTGTCTCAGGGTGTTGCTTACCTTGTCTTCTCTGCACAAACAGGTGGTGTAAGGCTTTGCAGTTGGCTCGTGGCTGCAAGGAGGTTCTGCCATTTCTTGGAAAGAAACTCAAAAGGGAGTGAATCTGCAAAGTTACAAAGTTCTGGTCAGCAAATCTTACTGGCCTAGGAATCTGAAACATAAGGGAACTATGAAAAAAAAACTATAAAAAAGTGTTTTCTTGCTTATGGAGCTGGTTACAGGACTTCCTGTTAAAAGAAAATTAAACTAACCAGAAAATATGCATCACAAACATATTTTCATCAACTTCATTTGTTTTACCAGGTTGACCTTACTGAATAACACGGTAACACCAGAGTTTATTCGACTAATTCCTTGTTATTGATATTGCCTAATAGCTATTTGTTTACCTTTGTCTCCCTCAAGGGAAGAATTTATTTATAATTGAGTTTTTAGTTTAGTGCATTTCAACAAACTCTTACTGACACCCACAAGCCCTGACACGGTGCTAAATTCAGGGGAAACAAAAGTGAATGTCGCTGGGTATGTGGTCCCTGCCTAGGAGGAGCTCATGTTAGTGGGCGATACAGACACACAAACAAAGGATCACAATGCAGGATTGATTAGGTGTGCAATGATAGAAGTATGCATGTTTATTGCAGCACAATTCATAATTGCAAAGGTGTGGAATCAACCCAAGTGCCCACCAATTCATGAGTGGATTAATGAAAGGCGGTGTATGTATAGCATGGAGTACTACTCAGCCATAAAAAGATGAATGAATACTTTTTGCAACAATCTGGATGGAACTGGAGACCATTCTCCTAAGTAAAGTATCTCAAGAATGGAAAAGCAAACACCACATATACTGACAATTAAATTGGAACTAACCGATGAACATACTTGTGCACAGAGGGAAGTATTAATAAAACTCAGTGGAAATCAAGCAGAGGAGATGGGGGAGAAGGGAGGGAAAAAAACCTACCTAATGGGTACTATGAACACTATTTGGGTGATGGACACACCTACTATAGCTGGGGCTCAAGCATTATAAAAGCAATCCATATAACCTAAAATATCTGTACCCCCTTAATATTAAAAAGAACAGAAGACAGTAGACAGCACTGTGATGTAATAAGTCAGTTCTTCAAAGCTTTAGAACACATTAGTATACTGGCACAAAAAAAAGGATTTTTATTATTTTTTTTGAGACAGGGTCTCACTCTATCACCCAGGCTAGAGTGCAGTGGTGTCATTATAGCTCACTGCAACCTCAAATTCTTGGGCTCAAGTAATCTGCCTGCCTCAGCTTCCCAAGTAGCTGGGACAAAGGAATGCACCACCACGCCCAGTTAATTTTTTCTATTTTTTGTAGAGACTGGTCTCCCTCTTGCTCAGGCTGGTCTTGAACTTCTAACCTCAAGGGATCCTTTCACCTTGGCCTCCCAGAGTGCTAGGATTATAGGTGTGAGTCACCGTGCCTAGCCCAAAAGGGGTGTTTTTAACTGAGACCACTGAGTTGCTGACAAAAGCTATGTGCCTGGTATTGTGCCAGGGTTTTTGCATTAATAAATCTCCTGGAATCCCTCTGGCAACCCAGTGGATTAAATATTAGTATTTTCTTTATTACACCAATTAGGAAACTAAGGCTCAGAAGAGATGAGGTTACATGGTTATGAAAAGACAGATCTCAGATTTGAATCTCGATTTGTTGGATTAAAGCTTGTGTTCTTTCCCCTAATACATAATTTGCGAATATTTTCCCTGTCTCAAATCACCCATATTAAAAGAGATATTTAGAAGTTAATTAAAAAATAGTATGCATAAGGAGGAAAGTAGTACAGAGGAAAGTTGATTAGCTCTGATTGGGTAGGAGGAATGGAATTGCCAGGGAAGTCTTCACTGAAAAACTGGAGTCTAGGCTGGGTGCGGTGACACACGCCTGTAATCCTAGCACTCTGGGAGGATGAGCTGGGAAGATTGCTTGAACTCAGGAGTTCGAGACAGAGCCTGGGCAAGAATGAGACTCCCGTCCCTACTAAAAACAGAAATTAGTCAAACAACTAAAGATAGAAAAAAAAATAGCTGGGCATGGTGGCCTGTGCCTGTAGTCCCAGCTACTCAGTAGGCTGATGCAGAAGGATTGCTTGAGCCCAGGAGTTTGAGGTTGCTGTGAGCTAGGCTGATGCAACCACAACTGTAGCCCAGGCAAGACTCTGTCACAAACAAAAAGCCAAAAACTGGAGTCTAATCAGGGTTTAGAAGGATGCATAGAATTTTCCAGAAGCAAGTTCTTCTAGGGAACAATAAGGGGGGTTCTCAGAACACATAGCTCCATCCCCAGGCGGAGCGCCCCGGGGGTTGAGGTGCAGTGGGGTAAGTGCTAGAAAGGCTGGTCAGGTTAGCAAGAGCTTTGAATGCGCACAAGTTTGGATTTTTACTCTGTAGCCAACAGGGAGGCAGAAGCTTTGGAGCTAGAAAGGAGTGAGTCCCAGAGCCTGGCCCCGGGAAGGCAGGCATGCAAAGTAGCCGAATGAATTAGGCGGCCAGAATGCACCTTCCTCAAATGCTGCTACAGACCGGGTCTCCTCGCCCACTTCGCCCTTCCCTGCAAGCTTAAATACGGCCCTTGGCAGGGACAAACCAATTTTTGAGGCCATTGTGTGCGTGTCTGACTGTCGTACACTGGTGTGTACCCCCTCACCCCCACACCATCTGCTCGCGGGACCTGGCGTCGATTCCTTCTTCCTGGATGTTTTCTGCCCAAATCCTCATCTGCTTCCCCCTCTCACCACGTCAGTGGCTTACACTCCCTGCCCCCGCCGGGACCCAGCCTTTATGGGCTGGAGCTGAGCTCTGGGCTGCGGGGAGCTGGGAGCCCCAGCCAGCAGCCGGGCGGGGGTGGGTTGGAGACCTGCCACCCACATTCCGGCCCTGGACAAGACCTCTGAGAGGGCGGGGTCTCGGGCTCTGATATCTGGCGCGTCCAGCCTTCGTCCCTTTCAGAAGGAGCGAAACACCTTTGGGCAAGATGGGTGTCTACCGTGTCCGCGTGGCCACCGGGGCCTCGATCTACGCAGGCTCCAACAACCAGGTGCAGCTGTGGCTGGTTGGGCAGCACGGGGAGGCGTCGCTGGGGACGCGCCTGCGGCCCGCGCGGGGCAAGGTGAGCTGCGCAGAGCCGGGCGGGGTGGCCGGCGCCCCCGGCCCCAGGTCAGTCAAATCCCCGGGAGGAGACGCGCCCGCGACAGCCTCGGTGCTTGCTCGCCGCCAAGGGCGCAGCACTCGGCACAGAGCGCGCACTGAGACGGCGGGGTAGAGCGCTTTAGGGCGGTTGGTGACACACAGTAAGCGCTTAGTGAATGTTCCCGCTGCCCGGCCTCCTTGGAACCGAGGGGCTCTCCTGTGCGCCCCTTATTCCAAGAGCTCTTGTCTCGAAACTCTGCGGCCACCGGAGTGGACTTTCGGTCCTCCCGTTTTCTCTATTTCAAACCTCTACCGTTGTTCTCAGGCCTGGCTGGCTTTGTCACCTGGGGTGTCGTGGGTGGTGAGACGGGATCGGGGATAGGTGGGAGAAAGAAGCCAAGACTTGAGACCACTCTCGATTTTCCAACCCACTTCTGTCATACCTACCCGGGGCTGTTATCTTTTTCTCTGCCAACCTCCAAATTCCCATGCCTGTCCAGCTCTCTCTCGGATTCGGATTCAGATTCGGATGTCTGTCTCACGGACTTGTCAAAGGAACTTGCCCCTAAGACGTCCTTCCTCTTTCCCACCTGCCAGACCGCTCCTCCTGTCTCCCGGGCGGCGCTCGGCCTCCTCCCTCTCTGCCTCCGCCTCTGTCTAACCAGGAATCCGGCGCAGCCAATCCTATCTCCTGGGCATCTCCCGCATCCGTGCCTCGATGTCCCCCTCACCCCGGACCACCAATGTGCCCCTGAACCTGCGTCATCTTCACCCTCTTCACCGGCCTGGCGCCTCTGCGCGGGACTTTCCAAGCCCTTCTGCAGCCAGAGCAATTTCTCCCCAACACATTCCCACCCTTAGAACATTCCCCACGCTTCCAACATTTGAATGGCTCCCGCTTCTTCTCAGGACCAAATCCAAAGCTCTTGGTTACCTTGGAGACCCTCCCGATCTGCTCCTGTTCACCTGCCCACACCCGGCTTTGTGCGCCAGCTCCACGACGCCCTCCCTTCGCCTCTGCCCGGCGCGTCCCCCACCCTCCGCGTTACAGCCCTCCCCACCTCCCGGTCTCCGCTTAGACGGAATGTCCTCCGGGAAGCCTGTCCCTAGGCCAGGTGGGACCTGCCTGCCCTCAGCCTTGGTGGCTCTACAGCTGCAGTTGCGTGTCAACAGCGTGTCCCCGGCTCCAGGGTGTGCTCGTCAATCCATAGGGAGGAAGAAGTGCAGGCAGGCGAGCACCCTTGCGTCCTCCAGACCTCATCCCCTCAGGGTGGGGTCGCGCGCCCTGCTCCGTGCGCAATCCCTTTCCCGCTCTGGCTCCCTTCGCGCCGCTTTCCCGGAGGCTCAGAGGAAAGGGGCGGCGGGAGCAGGGCGGGGCCGCCGCGCCCTCGCTGCAGGGCCCGCCACGCACCCACGCGGAGCCTCTCCTGTCGCCTGCAGGAGACGGAATTCAAGGTGGACGTGTCGGAGTACCTGGGGCCGCTGCTGTTTGTGAAACTGCGCAAACGGCGCCTCCTCCAGGATGACGCCTGGTTCTGCAACTGGATCTCGGTGCAGGGCCCCGGGACCAGTGGGGACGAGTACAGGTTCCCTTGTTACCGCTGGGTGGAGGGCGACCGCGTCCTGAGCGTAGCGGAGGGCACCGGTGAGTGCAGGGGTGGGGTGTGAGGCGGCCGCTGGGGCGCAGGAGAAGCTGGGGTGCGTGGGTGGGGATGGTGTGTGAAGAGGGTGCAGGACTTGGAGACTCGAACCTGGTGTGTGGGGGTCTTTGGAGGTTGTCAAAGAGGCAGTTGCTGGCGCTGGCATGGAGTGGGTGGAGGCTGGGGGAGAGGCCAGCGGGAAGGACGAGCCTGGGAGGGACTTAGCAGGGACAGGGGAGAGGCCCTTAGGAAAGGCCCGTCACTCCTCTGGACTTCTAGGCCGCACGGTACTTGACGACCCTCAAGACCTGTTCAAGAAGCACAGGGAAGAGGAGCTGGAAGAGAGAAGGAAGCTGTACCGGTTAGCCCTTCTCCCCTGACCCCACCCTGAGCTGTTGACCCTTCCGACCTTCCAGAATACCAGAGCCTGGTGCCATGTCTACCCTGCAGGTTGGGTAACTGGAAGGATGGGTTAATCCTGAATATGGCTGGGAACACAATACGTGACCTTCCTGTAGATGAGAGATTTCTGGAGGACAAGAGGATTGACTTTGAGGCTTCACTGGCCAAGGGGTGAGAGCAAGGGGAGTTGGGGGAGGGGGAGGCCAGTGGGCTTATGGGCTGCACAGGTCTGGACCAGCCCAAGATCATTGGTGCCTGTGGTTGTAATATTTGGGTCTCAGAATATTTGAGTCTTAAACTCTTTGCCCCATGCTTCCCCGAAGGCTGGCAGACCTTGCTATCAAAGACTCTCTAAACATTCTGACTTGCTGGAATGATCTGGATGACTTCAACCGGATTTTCTGGTGCGGGCAGAGCAAGCTGGCTGGTTAGTCCTCCCTGTTTCCCGACCTTACCCAGATCCCACCAACCAGGGAGGACCAGGTTGGGAGACAAGAGGCTTGGGTCCCTCTGATAGGCTGGTCAAGTGGGGATGGTTTGGTGACGGTTGGGAGGACCAAGAGCTCAGATCCCATGGTGTGCTCAACAACTGCCTTCCCAGAGAAAGTGCGGGACACCTGGAAGGAGGACGCCTTATTCGGGTACCAGTTTCTCAACGGCACCAACCCCATGCTGCTGAGGCGCTCTACTCGCCTTCCTGAACGCCTAGGTTCTCCGGGGATGGAGCTGAGGGCCCAGCGGAGAAGGAGCTGGGATACGACATCGCCCCTGGAGGCCCAACAAGTATGGGGACGGGTCGCGCCAACTGTACTGTGGTCTGCTTGCTGCTGGCCGGCAGGAAGGGACCCTACAGGAGAAGTCCTGAATGACCGGAAGGCGCAGCCATTCCTTCCCTTGCATTAGGACAGGGTACGTGAGGGAGGCTGCAAGGTGGAAGGCGACGGAAAGATTGAAAATGGGACATGCAACTGGCCTCAGTGCTGTGATTCAGCAGGGTAACAGAGAGAATCAGGGTCGGGTGTTGATTGTTAATCAGGAGTCAACACGGAACAGTTGAGAGGAAAATTGATGGGATTATAGGAACAAACAGACTTGGATTTGAATCCTGGCTCTGCTCTTTGTAAGCAGCGTGACCTCGGAAAAATATCCAACATCTCTGATCACGCTTCCTCTTCTATAAAACTGAGGCTAATTCAACTACGTATAAGAATTATAGGCAGGGCGCTGTGGCTCACACTTGAATCCTAGCACTCTGGGAGACCGAGGCAGGAGGATCAGGATCCCTTGAGCTCAGGAGTTAGAGATGAGCCTGAGCAAGAGCGAGACCCCATCTGTACTAAAATAGAAGAAATTAGCTGGACAACTAAAAGATATAATACGTAAAATGGGCGGCGCGGTGCTCATGCTATCCTAGCTCTTGACTGAGCGGTGATGCTCGAGTCAGGATTCAAACCAGCCTGACAAAAGAGACCCCTGTTCTACCATAAATATGTAAAGAAATTAATTGCCAACTAATATATTAAGAGAAAAATTAGCCAGCATAGTGGCACATGCCTATGATCCCACACTTGGGAGCTGTAGCAGCAGATGCTTGAGCCAGGAGTTTGAGGTTTGCATGTGACTAAGCTGATGTACGACTAGTCCATAGCCTGGGCAATAAAAGCGGACTTCTAAAAAAAGAAAAAAAATTGGCCGGCATGGTGGTGCATGCCTGTAGTCCCAGCTACTTGGGAGGCTGAGGCAGGAGGATCACTTCAGTCCAGGAGTTTTAGGTTGCTGTGAGCTAGGCTGACACCAGGGCACTCTAGTCCCGGTGACAGAGTGAGACTCTGTTTCAAAAAAAAAGATTATATGAGGTCATAAGAACCTGATCCATTACCTATGACAAATAGGTGATGAAGACTAGTTAGTTCCCTTCTCTATTTTCTCCCTTTGGGGAATGGGAGCAGGAAGGAGATGCCTTATGCTGATAGCTGCCCCTTGCCCTCCCCATCCGGGGAACACGCTGTTTGAACTGCTCGCCCTTGTTGACGGGATCAAGGCCAACGTCATCCTGTGCAACCAACAGCACCTGGCTGCCCCTCTGGTCATGCTGAAACTGCAGCCTGATGGGAAACTCATGCCCATGGTCATCCAGGTGAGAGGACCCGGGGTTTCTGCTCCCCCGTGGTGGGCCTACTCCGTTTAGCCCCTCATCCAAATTCACCCCCTGCGAAGGCACCGTGCTAAGGAGCTGGGGGAGATATTGAAGGAGGAATGAGCAAAGTCTTTGATGTTAAGAGCTTTGTCATCTAACTGGAGAGACAGACTGGCCCAGTCTGAATATGCTCCAGTACTGAGGAGGTCCCTGAGGACAGAGATGGCCTGGGAGGGATGGGGGGGTCATGAGCCTTGGAGAAGGGTCAGGACTTAGGCAAGCAGGAGGGAGGGGAAGGACCTGTCCCAGGGCAGCTGGGTGGGCAGGGAGGCTGAGGTGGAGGAGTCAGGAGATTCCTAGGGGACATGGCGGGAATGCGGGGGAAGACTGTGAGGTGAGAGGGGCGGGATTCAGCCACGCTAAGGAGGATGACATCCACATGGGAGCTGGCAGAGGCTGTTGGGCAAGGTGCTGTGGGCTCGTGGTACTGTGTGGTACAGGGGTTGTGTTTGGGGTGGAGAGGAGAAGGGGGATACTAGACATGGGGAGTAGGGTGACCTGCTGCCCGCTTGCTGGAGGAGGAGGTGATGGGCTCAGATGTGGGTGGTGACATAGCGATGAAGAGGACAGATGGACGCGAGTGCAGAGGGAGACTGAAGGAGAGGGGAAAAGGGGAGCCAGGCCGGGCGCCTGCAGAAATAGGACACATAAAGAGGACAGGGTGCTCACGTAGGCTCTGTCTTGCCGATCATGAGTTAATGGGGAGACATTCAAATTGCCTGGCAGGCAGCTGAGAACTGGAGACGCAGCCATTTGTGTAGAGGTGGTGTTGAAAGATCGGTGAGAGGCTGAGATTTCGGAAAGAGTGTGGGATGCAGGAAGCAGGGGTGTGAGTCTCGTCCACAGTGAGGGGACCGAAAGGGGAAGTGGAGGCTGAGAAGGCAGCGGAAGGGCAGCTTCTGCAGAAGGCCGAGGGCAGAGCAGCTTGCGCAGCGCCAGCACCGAGTGGGTGGGGGAGGGGAAAGAAATGGTAGCCGTGGGGGTGGTGGCAGTAGGATGGAGGATGAAGGGAGGGGAGGGGGATTGGTGGCACCTGGCACTCACCCTGTGTCTCCTCCTGTCCCTGCTCTAGCTCCAGCTGCCGAAAATAGGATCCCCGCCACCTCTGCTTTTCCTGCCCACGGATCCCCCAATGGTCTGGCTTCTGGCCAAGTGCTGGGTCCGGAGCTCTGACTTCCAGCTCCACGAGCTGCAGTCGCATCTCCTGAGGGGACACCTGATGGCTGAGGTCATTGCTGTGGCCACCATGAGGTGCCTTCCCTCACTACATCCTATCTTCAAGGTAGCACCTTGTTCCCTTCTCCCTGCCTGCCTCTCCTCTGCCCAGGGCCCGTTCCCACCTCTGGAGGCCCTCTCCATGGTTCTGGGTGTGGAGAGAACCAGCCCATGGAAGACTCAGCAAGGGAGTGTGAGCCTGGATCCCCCGCATTTTCAGCGGGTCACATCACCTCCCAAGGGGGTAGAAATGATTCCAAGGGGATGGGGCAAAAAAACATAACCCTTTAAATGTATAAAGCACAGAATATTATGCAGTACACAAGCAGTACGTGCCAGTGACTGAAGATTCAATCCAATCCAAGGGACCATACAAATCATGTAGAAGGATTTTCCAGCCAGTCCTTGTAGAGTTCTAAAATAGCAACATAGGCCAGTTAGAGCTGCAGGCCCACAGCAGTAGCCTGCTTTATTACAGGTAATTAGAGCAAAGTATTCACCCATTATTGGGTGCTTCCCATGTGGCAAGAGCCATTCTAGATGCTAGTGGTACAAGACTAGCGAGCCCTGATCTTCTGGGATCAGTTTCCAGTACGGGCAGACGACACAGCCTGTACTGTAACACACCAGCTGCGGTGAGTACCGGCAGAGAAAGCAAAGCAGGGTGGTGTGGTAGTGAGTTTAGAGTGGTGGCCAGGAAAGGCTTCCTCGAGATGATGCAGAGAATGAGACTGGGGGTTGGGGGCAGGCAAGCCGTGAGATAATCAAGAGGGCACAGTGTTCCAGGCAGAGGAACAGCTGTGCAAAGTCCCTGAGGCAGGAACGAGCTTGACTCATTTAAAGAACAGGAAAGACGACGAGTGTAATGGGTGAAGGGAGACGGAGGAAATGAGGTTGCGGAGATGCTCAGCGTCAGATCCGAATTCTCAATGCCTCCCACGGGTGAAATGCTTGCGAGAGTGGAAAAATCTTATTATGTTTATGTGTAAGGCACAGATAAAACACAGCACACACATAGACATATAGTATATATGTAACATAAAAATTTCACGGATAGGCCGGCGTGGTGGTTCACGCCTGTAATCCTAGCACTTGGGAGGACGAGGCAGGCAGATCGCTCAAGGTCAGGAGTTCGAACCAGCCTGAGCAAGAGCGAGAACCCGTCTCTACTAAAAATAGAAAGAAATTAATTGGCCAACTAAAAATATAAGAAAAATTTAGCAGGGCATGGTGGCACATGCCTGTAGTCCCAGCTACTCGGGAGGCTGAGACAGAAGGATCGCTTGAACCCAGGAATTTGAGGTTGCTGTGAGCTAGGGGCCACAACACTCTAGCCTGGGCAACAGAGTGAGACTCTGTCTCTAAATAGATAGATAGATAGATAGATAGATAGACAGACAGACAGATAGAATAAAATTTCATGGATAGGGGTTGAGATTAGGAAAAAACATCCCAAAAGTCTTCTTAGGGGGTAATACTGAACAAAAGTACATTGGAACATTGTAGGGCAGTGGTCCCTAACCTTGTTTGGCACCAGGGACCAGTTCCATGGAAGACAACTAGACAATTTTCCCACAGATTGGGGGTGGTGGAGGGTGGTGGTGTACGCGGAGCTCAGGGGGTGATGCGAGCCATGGGGAGCAGCTGTAAATACAGATGAAGCTTTGCTTGCTCACCGCATCTCGCCTCCTGCTGCCTGGCATCCCCAGCCCTGTTCCTAAGTTTCATGGAAGATAGTTTTTTCCACTGATCTAGGGGGAGTGGTGTGGGATGGGGTGAGGGGAGGTTGGAGCTCAGGTGGCTATGTGTGGCCTGGTGCCCAAGAGGCCGAGTACCGGTACCAGGCCGTGGCCTGAGGGTTGGGGGCTGCAGGTCTAGACCTATGAAAAGAACAGGAGAATGATTTCTTTCAATTATCACAAAGTGCTGACTCAATGGTTTGCAGAATAAATTAAGTGATGCAACGATCACCTGAAACAACTCCATTTTTTGTTTTTTTTTTGAGACAGAGTCTCGCTTTGTTGTCGGCTAGAGTGGTGCCGTGGCGTCAGCCTGCTCACAGCAACCTCAAACTCCTGGCTCAAGCGATCCGTACTGCCTCAGCCTCCCAAGTAGCTGGGACTACAGGCATGCACCCACCATGCCGGCTAATTATATATATATATATATTAGTTGGCCACTTATTTCTTTCTATTTATAGTAGAGACAGGGTCTGCTCTGCTCAGGCTGGTTTCCGAACTCCTGACTCGAGCAATCCGCCCGCGCTCGGCCCTCCCAGAGTGCTACACGGATCTACAGGCGTGGAGCCACCGCACCTGGCCTGAAAACTCTTTTTAAACATTTATTGTATTCTTTTAAGACACAGGGTCTTGCTGTGTCTCCCAGGCTGGAGTGCAGTGGCATGATCAGAGCTCACTGCAGCCTTCAACTCCTGGCCTCAAGTGACCCTCCTGCCTCTGCCTCCAGAGTAACTGGGACTATAGGCACATGCCACCATGCCCCAATAATTTTTCTTTATTGGAGTCTCACTATGTTGCCTAGGCTGGTCTCAAACTCCTGGCCTCGAGTGATCCTCCTGCCTCAGTCTCCCAAAGTTCTGGGATTGTGGGTGTGAGCTACCTTGCCCAGCCCCAAATGAAAACTACTGATGCCAAGGAGCCATTGAACTTGAAGTTTGTGTTTTTTTTCCTGAAGACCCAGTGTCTTTCCTGCTTTTTAGCCCATTTCCCATGGGGACCTGCCACAACTTTCTTCTGACTTGCCCTCCCTGCTTCTCTCCCTCCAGCTCATAATCCCCCACCTGCGCTACACGCTGGAAATTAACGTCCGGGCCAGGAATGGGCTGGTCTCCGACCTGGGAGTTTTCGACCAGGTATGGGTGGAGAAAGGGGGATTCTGGGGCTCACTCCTCCTTCTGGCTCTGGCCTCAGGGCTCCTGACTAGCCTGACCCTGCTGTCCTCGTCCCTCAGGTGGTCAGCACAGGTGGGGGAGGCCACGTGGACCTGCTCAAACGAGCTGGAGCCTTCCTGACCTATAGGTCATTCTGTGTCCCTGATGACTTGGCTGACCGGGGGCTCCTCGGGGTCAAGTCTTCCTTCTATGCCCAAGATGCCCTGGAGCTCTGGGGAATCGTCTCTCGGTGAGGCGAGCAGGGGGGCAAGGCTGGGGGGTGGGAGGGGTGGAGGAGATGGCACGGAGAACAGGGGGTCTGAGTTTTGGTTGTGGGGCCGAGGCCCTGGCCTGGCCCTGTGGGCAGGGGCAGACGCTTGGAGGCTCCCTGTCGGGCTTCAGCTCTCTGGCCTTGACCCTCGGCCGGCAGGTACGTGGAGGGCATGGTGAATCTCCACTACAAGACAGACGAGTCTGTGAGGGACGACCCTGAGCTGCAGAGCTGGTGTCGCGAGATCACTGAAATTGGGCTGCAAGGGCGCTCAGGACCGAGGTAAGAGGAGCCCCTGCCCTCGGATGTCAGACGCAAAACACAAGAGACCTCCCTAGAATCCTCCCTGTTTCTTTGGAATGTTCCAGAGGTATTTCCAAACCCTGTGCAAACTCCCAAAGGCCTTCCCAGGTTCCATTCCCTCTCCGCGAGAGGCAGGTCCCCATCCTATACACTGAGGAGTCCCAGTCCCAGGCAGCAGGTCGGGAGCGGGGCCAGTGGTGTCTGCATACAGTGGTCTTAAGCCAACGTGGCTCTCTGGAAAAAAGCCCTGATCTGTAGCATTTGCCCATTTCCATGGTGTAAATATTCCCACTGCGGCTACCAAGTGAAGTTGACTAGTTTGCTAAACACCTGAAAAGTTAGCGTCATTGACTCTTGTGAGCCAGTGTGAGCCGGCACGAGGACCCTCCCAGCAGAGCTCCCCGTGTCCCCGACCCCAACCCACTCTCCTGTTAGTTCCCACAGGAGTGACTGCGTGTTCCTGGCACCTTCTCACCCGTCTTGTTCTCCTCTCTCCGCCTTGTCTCTGAGCTCTGCCTCTACTCCCGGCCCCACAGCTTCTAACTCTCCTCACTCTTTGCAGGGTTTCCTGTCTCTTTGCAGTCTCGGGAGCAGGTTTGCCGCTTTGTCACCATGTGCATCTTCACCTGCACTGGCCAGCACTCCTCCGTCCACCTGGGCCAGGTGCTTACCCTGGCTCTCACCATGGTGGGCTGGCGTCTGCCCAGTTGCCAAGTGATGGACATCTGGAGAGAAGCCTGGTGAAAGTTGGGCAGTGTTGCCATCACTGTCTCCAGCGTTGCGTCCTTGGTGGTCGGCGGGGGCAGCCGCATCGTGCAGGGTGTGTTAGGGACCCAAGTGTACCAATCCAGCTAAGCAGTGGGGAGGGTCCACAGTCAACACTTGCTAAGCATGAAAAACCCCGTAGCCTACC